TTTTGCGTCAAGGTGCTTTGATGTTTGGATTCAAAACCGTGTCTTGTTTTGAAACTTGTTGCAGTGTTTACTGTGTGTTTGTAAAGCTGGGAAAAGGAGTGAAAAGCAGCTGAAGTCGGAAGCAAAATACGTAGTCAGATGCAAAAATGATTTTAACCGAGCGATCTGCTGGAGTTGCAGATTAAAGGAACGGTTGAAACCAGTTGATTCAAACAACTCTCCTAGAGGTCTGCATCCCTCGAGACCCCCAGAGCCATTCCTACAGCCGACAAATACCCTCGCCAAGCCGGGAGAGGCCAGAACTTGCATTCCCCATCCATCTAACAAACAAGCCCCAAGCCCTAGTGAGGCATCACAAAGCCACCAGAAGAAAACCTGGCTCCGAAGGAAACCTGCACAGCCCCAAGGTTTGGAGGTCAGGAGCCGTCATCGGTGTGCCGTGTGGCGTTGGTCCCCGTCCTGCTGCTGGGAGATACTGATGAGGTACTTTTGAGCCATCGGTGCTTAAAACGCTCGTGCACCCGTCGTTTCTCTTTCTGGCAGGGGTTATTTATTGCGGGCATTAACCCAGGGCTGCCTTTTGGGTGCCTCGATCTTTCTTTCAAAGATTGCATTTGTGCTGTTCAGCTGTAATTGGCAACTTTTGGACTTTTTGTTTGCTTGCCTGCATGCTGGAAAGCCTTCAGAGGTTGTTTGGGAGGCAAAGGGAGCCTGTAGATGTGGAGTTTTTTTGCTCTTATTATTATTATTATATATTATTATAATTAAAACATATTTTTAGCAGCTGAAATTTGAGCCCGTCTGGGTATTTATACAGCAACATGTTTTGGATGAGGAATAGGCCAAGACAGTCACGTGGTTGGGGCCAACGTGAAACAAAAGAATCCATTTATTATCCAGGCAGGAAATTTGTTCTTCGGGATGTTGTAGCTGCAGACATAATGATTTCATTTCCTCCGGTTCACCCAGATTAATGGCTTGTGCTCTTTTGTTTGTGTGCCTGTGTTATTTCTGCAACGTGGTTTCCCCCCCGTGCTCTGTGCCGGCGTGTACGAACATGTGTGCCAGTGCCCTGGGCGAGGAGGGGGGGCGTGGGGTCTCCAGGCTGGGCTGCAGCAGGCTGCTTGGGTTTTCGGCGTGGGGTGGGATGCTGGGAGAGCCGAGCGAAGGCTGAGGGACCACCTCGGGTGTCCTTCCCAGCAGGGGTGGGTGTCCTGGTGCATGTGCATCTCTGAGGGTCTCCTGCTTGTGAATCTCTGGGGATCTCCTCCTTGTGCATCTCCAGGGGTTTCCTTCTCCTGCCGTGGTCACTAGGGCAGTGAGGGATGTTTTCCTGTGAAGCTGTGGTGGGATGGGAGAGGTGGAGAGATTGAAAGGCAAGCATGAGTGTTGACCGTATGGGAGGTGTGAAAGCAGTGTGTCTTCTCCGTGGCCACGCTCAAGGGTGTGCATTGGTGTTGTGTACTTGGTGGGAAACCTGAAGCTTTGCACCCTCCCAAATACCGTGTTGGGAAACAGCTCCTGTTCCTAGGGAGCCGTGCTGATGCGCAGGGATGCAGGTGTTGGCCACGTGGCGATGGGTGAGCAGCTCCTTCCTTGCTGGCTGGGTTGGCCTTTCGTACCAGGCAGGTCCCAGCCCCTCGTGGGGCCACTGGCCATCTGGAAGCTGGTGGCACTTATGCTCCCTCTTCAAGTAAAAAGAAGAACCCAACAACCCATGTTCGTGGACACTGCAATATTACTGGCAGCCTTAATTGCACCCTTTCTCGCTTTCTGAGTGGCTTTCAAAAGCAATGTGACAGGCAAACGATGCCTTTGCGTTGCTGTCACCTGAATGGCCCTCATGGGGTTTTGCCACAGAGCTTTTGATTCACTGTGTGCAGCGTGACCGGAATCTTCTGTTCTGGACAGATCTGGAGTAACCTTGTGGAGTTGGAATCGCCCATCTGTGATGAGGAGTTGAACGTGATGCTGCCTAGGGTCTGGGCTGGAGGATGTTTGGTGACCATCTCGCTGCTCCCGTGTTCGACTCTTCCTTCTTCCCTCCCTTAGGTGTTAAAATTTGGGGAGGAAAGAGAGTTTCTGCCATCCCTGCTGGAGGAGGTTTCCCTGCAGGGACATACCTTGCTGAAGGAAGACCCTCTTGGCCATCAAGGTGGATCTGCCATCGTTCCTGCCATCTTCTGGGTGCTTGCATGCAACGATCCCATCTTGCACATGCGTTGCACCTTCTTGCTTTTGTTCTCGTGAGCTTTCATGCCGTGAGGGCTGCGTGGGGCTGAAGGTGCGAGCCCACCATCTGAGAACTGCGGAGGAAAGGGGTGGGGAGCTCCTGGTATCCCATCGAGCTGCAGGTGCTTTCTCCCCACCTGCCTGCTCTCCCATGTCGTCCAGGTGACAGAGTTTGTGAGGATGTGACAGCTCCGTTGCACAGGAGATGATGAACAGTAATGAGACCCAGAGCACAACGTGCACTTAAAGTGATTTATTTCAGTAGGGAAACCACAATCGGGGAGGATGGGTCAGCGTCATCAGGAGAAGAGGTGGCTATGGAGATGAGCTTAGGGGGAACTTTTTAAAGCGGCGCTGGGTTGATGATAAACGAGCAGAGCTGGCGCTGCGTGAAATGGAGCCGTGCCGGTCACGCTGGGACCATCCCTCGCCCGCGGTGGATCGCGGGCAGCTCCCGGGGGTTGGCAGGTGACCGGGCTGGTGGGCTGCTGGAGGTGGCTCTGGCAGCCTTCTCCTTGCTTACCTCCCTGCAACCCCCGACAAAAATGACCAGGATCTACGAAAACAAGAGCATTGGTTTTAAATTTTGTGAGGCCAAGAGGACAGCCTCCTGCCAGCATCCTCCTCCTCCTCCTCCTCCTCCTCGCCTCCCAGGGCTGGTGGGAGCCATGGCTGCTCAGCAGGTCAGCCGGCCGCTGCGGCTTGCAGGAAAAGCTCAGTGTAAGCACAGTCCTGAGCAAAACCTTGCGATTTAAGGTCGACTTAGAGCTTGTTTTTCCTCTTTTCTCTTGGAATACGGATCCCAGGGCTCCTGGTGCCAGGGGATGTGGTGGGACAGAGAGCCTGGTGCTGCCTCTGCACGGGCAGGAGCCCTAGGAGGCAGCGAGCAGTTTGCCAAAAGCTTGCCAAGAGGGGTCCCGAAGCCCCCGCTGTGCACCCCCTCGAAGGGCATCATCCAGAGGGGGGACTGGCGGCCCTGCGAGGCGGGAGGAGCAGTCGCTGGTAGCTACCGGCGTGTTCGGGCAAGGATTCAGCACGGCCACGCCGGGCCGTCAGAGCTGGGAGAGCACCATGTGTGAACGGGTGTTTAGAAATCTTGGCAAACACATTTTGTTATTTACTCAACGGACCAGCTGTCTTGTGCATAACGTACCTAAAGATGGCTCAGATTGATAGTATAATTTTTGGGAGAGGATGCAGGATAGTTACGGATCCTGGCCGTTGGCTGTCTTGACCAAATCTGGAATGGAAAAAGAAAAGGAGTCCCAGGCAAAGCTAGGAGAGCCAAGGGGTGGGTTTGCAGGGCATTTTGGGGAGTGGCATTTGGATGTGGGACCAGGGCAAAAATAAAAAACCAGCCCCAATGGGGTCTGCTGACGGGCTGCTCTGCCCTTTGCGAGGGACCTGTGGGCTTTGCCACGTCCCCGTTCCCCCCGTTGCCACGCGTGCAGCC